TGACTTGAGAGTCCCTCTTCTTCTTGGGTGCCTTGCAATCCGCGGACTTGTGTCCGTTTTTATTGCAATTGAAGCATTTTCCATTGAACTTCGTCTCGGAAACGCCTCCCTTGGGACCGAGCTTGCTCTTTCCATTATTTTTATTTTTGGAGCCTTTAGCATGCTCCACCACGTTGGCCTTGGCGCCATGAACAATTGAGAGTTTCCCATCGTTCTTCCGGTTATCCTCTTCAATCCGTAGACGGAGGATCAATTGCTCCAAGTTCATTTCCTTTCGCTTGTGCTTAAGGTAGTTCTTGAAATCCTTCCAAGCCGGCGGCAATAAATGGATAATTGATGCCACTTGGAAAGACTCACTAACTGTCATTCCTTCATCTCGAATTTCGTTGAAGATCATTTGCATCTCCTCAACTTGACTCAAGACCGTCTTCAAATCCACCATTTTAAAGTCAAGGAATCGACCAACAACAAATTTCTTTGCGCCGGCATCCTCGCTTTTATATTTGTGGTCCAAAGCATTCCATAGCTCCTTAGCCGTAGCTAATTTGCTATAAATGTCGTACAAAGCATCATGCAGCCCGTTCAACACGTAGTTTCGGCAAAGGAAGTCAGAATGCTTCCAAGCTTCAACCGCGTTGAAAGATTGCGCATCCACCTCACCCCCGGTTGCTACCGGCGCATCTTCGGTCAAGAATCTAGCAAGACCGAGAGTAGTGAGGTAAAATAGCATCTTTTGCTGCCACCTCTTGAAGTTTAACCCGTTGAATTTCTCGGGTTTCTCCACAGAGTTGCTTGGCACGGTCACCATAGGGATAGCCCTTTGGTTGGCCAAAGTAGATGCACCGCGTTGTGAACCATTGTTCACCGGTGCTCCACTTTCAGAGTGATTGTCGTTCAGAACATTCTGCCCAACACCAATCTCGTTTTCTTGAGAAGTCATTTTCGTTCTTTAACATTTTTCCGAAAACACAAAAAAATAAGTTCGTTCACCAAAGTGACAAACTTCGTTTAAGATTGTTTACCGGAGTAGAACAATCAACAAATACGTTTTAAGATTGTAGGGTGTGTTTCGGAAAATAAAGAAAATTAATTAAATAAATCAATTAAATAAAATGACTAGAGAAAAACAAGAAAGGAGATGAAGCAGAATTAGCCAAAGCTCGTGCTACGCACGATTTCCTTAAAATGTATTTGTTTCCTCCGGCAGAAGACCCCAACAGAAATTAAACGTTTCGGGAAGAAAACAAAAATTAACCGTATCTCTTGAGAGATAGATATTTGGACGGCATTCGTGTCCGCAGGTCGCCCGCGCACACGAGTCACGGTTTTTCTTCTCCATTTCGGGATTTGATCGGCACCCCCCCCCCCCCCTGCGCGTAAGAGAGAGCCTTTCCCTTTAGGAATCTTAACTCCTTAAAAGAGGCTTCCCTTTATAAGGGGGTGAAAATCCCTTGAGTTTTTCGGTGTGGGATAAAACACACTAGAAACTCATCATTTTTCCCAGTTTTTCCATTTCAACGAGTGAACTTCGAGAATCAATTTCTCATTCACCCGTTATCCGTTTTGAGCGTACCATATATCGAATTGTAGCCCTTAACAAGGACAATCCGAAACCACTTTGACCCGACCCAAATCGGAAGTGAACCCCACTCAAATAATTGCCCCAAAATGACCATTTAATGCCATTTTTAACACATTTTTCCAACAACCAATTCTTTGTCACTTCTCAAAGTGACCGCATGAGCTTGTTGCCTTGGATTCGGCTCCGTTTGAGATGGGAGTTTTTCCGAATCCCTAACTTCAAGCCTACTCATGACATTTGAGATTTGGCTCATTTGGCTTTCCAAGTTGTGGATGCTAGATTTTGTTGTTTCTTGAAATTGGGCCACACTTTGTTGCATCGTAGTCATGTTCATGGCTAGTGCTCGAATCATGTCTTCGGTGGACATGTTCGAGTTTGATGTTTGGCCTTGTTGTTTAAATTGTTGAGGAGGAGGGTTTGATTTTTGAGGGGGTTTGAGAGTTTCCGTACCTTAGATTTGGATGATCCCTCCATCCCGGATTGTAGGTGTTGCCGTGAGGATCGTACCTCCTTTGGCCTTGAAACCCCAAAGCATTGACTTGCTCGGAGTTCTCCTCTTGTAGAGTTGGGCAAGAATCGGTGGGATGCCCTTGTGTTGAACATATGCCGCAGACCTTGAATTCTTGGGTTTTTGGATTTAAGAGGAAATATTTAACCAAAGAAGTCAAGCCGGCCACTTGACTCTCCAACGAGTTGTTGGATTCCGCCGCCATGACTCTCTTTGTTGACCGTCGATCATAGTGTCTACAATTTTCGGCCAACTCCGAGATAAGATTCCTAGCTTGAGAAGGTGTTTTGTTGACTATTCCTCCTCCACATGCGGCATTAATCATCCGTCTATCATCATCGCAAAGACCATCATAAAAGTAAAGGATGAGATCTTGCTCCGAGTAGCCGTGATACGGGCAGCTTGCACAAAGTTTCTTGAATCGTTCCAAGAATTCGTAGAACGATTCATCATCTTTTTGCTCCACATTGCTGATTTGTTTCTTTAGAGATGAGGAGATTGAGGCAGGATAATACCTTTCGAGGAAGCTCTTCTTCATAGCCGCCCAAGTGTCTATGCTTCCCGAGGGAAGATAGAATAGCCAATCTTTGGCGGTGTCTTTGAGGGAGAATGGAAAAGCTCTCAACTTAATTTGCTCCTCGGTAACACCGTTCAGGCACATGCTTGTGCAAACGATGTGGATTTAGAGTTGGGAAGGTGATACATAAGGGTTGTTGATTTAGATTGGGAGCTGTGAGTTCCCTCAGCGTTCTTGTTTCAAGAGCCATCGATATTGGCTCTTCGGACTTGCTAGATTGAGAACTAGCACGTGAGGATTCTCCCGAGTCAGTATTTGAGAATTTACTTTTTAACCGCTCGAGAGCTTGTTCTATTTCAGGGTTTGTTTGGTAGGTGAGTTTGTTTATGGATCGGGTTTTTACCATATACTCAAACAAAGCTCAGAAAAATAGAAATCTTTATATATAATTTTTTTTTATTTTTCTTGAAATAGAATAAAAAGAAAAATTAATTGCCTTTCCCCGGCAACGGCGCCAAATTTGACGAGCACTTTGTCACGGTGCGTCAAAATAATTCGATACTAACACTTATACGTAGTATAGGTGAAGTAGAGTTCGTATCCACTGGGAAAGGAACAATTCTCTTTTTATGACACTTAGTAAATAAAGGGGGTTTTTTAGTGATGAATGATTTAATTAAATTAAAAACTAAGATGAACGACTTATATGAGATTTAATTCAAGAATAAAAGGGACTTGGCTTTGCTACTTTCCACTTGTTGATATATTTTAGTTGATCCTTGTTATATCTATAACTTATCCCCTCTCGAATACTCAATCGAGGAGTATCTCCAATTCATCGAGGGTAGTTATTAACAACGACCGTTCATTAATAACCCTTACTATTAATCAAATGTAGAACAACGCCGTATACCGATATAATAGTAGCATTCAATCATTGCATTCTCTCAAAAGCGACGCCAAAGTAGGGTTTTGCGGAGGCGATTTTTGGTTCTTGAATGACGGAGGGTTCTGCGGTGGTTCTTCCACCGCCGCCACTGCCTGATGGTAGGGTTTGATCCTGCAAATCGTTCGCTGATGTGGTTTCTAATAAGGAATCTCCTATTGCTTACTCTAGGTCTCGTTACAAAGGACTAGCGGCTATATCTTTTCTTGAATCTGACATTCAACAGCTGGCTGATGCTCATAAAAGGTCATTGGTTGGCTACTTTTTCCGAGGAAGGCCTAGTCTTGCGTTGATCAGAAAATCCTTTGAGATCATAGGTTTTAAAGGACCCTTCCACTTGGGCCATTTAGAGAAGAAGCACATTCTAATTCGTTTTGAGTCGGAGGAAGATTATCTCAGATGTTGGAATCGGCAGACTTGGTCTATTCAAGGTAATATTATGCGTGTTACGAAATGGTCTCCGGAATTCCGGCCAAACATGGAATCCCCTGTGGTTCCAGTTTGGATTGTTTTTTAGGGTCTCCCAATTCATTTACATGGTAAAAGAGCCTTATTTGCTATTGCTAGTTTGATTGGTAATCCTTTGCATATTGATTCGGCTACAGCCACTCTGGCTAAACCATCAATCGTTAGGATTTGTGTGGAACTCGACTTGACAAAAGAGATGCCAAATAAAATTTGGGTGAACTGTGGATCAACTGGTTTTGTTCAGCCTGTTCTCTATGAAAACAGGCCGGAATACTGCTCCCTATGTTACCATCTGGGTTAAAACAGAGACCTAGCAAAGATGTTTCCATTATAGAGATCGATAATAAAAGGTACGTATTTGTTCTCTTTCTACCATGAAATGGATATGCAACGTGTCATCAACATGGTCTGTGGCTATATGCATCAAAATTTTCTTCAGTTTCATTTTTATTCTTGATCGGTTGTTGGTTCTTACTTTGTTTTTAATTAGTTAAGCATATTTACTTTAGTCATTGTAGACAACTTGCCTGTTAGTGCTTGTTTTAACCAAATTTCGATAAACTAAAACTAATTAATCAAATTTCGATAAACTAAAACTAATTAGAATATAGATTGGATTTCCTATCAGAACAATAAAGAAAATAACAAGAATAACAATAAGGATGTCAGGTAAGTAAAATAGAGTGAAAGTTTGAGTATTATTCGAATGAATGGTCCGCTTTTACAAGTGAGCTCCATACTACTTATAGGAAGGATAATTAATGTCTTTTTGTCCGTTGTTGACGGTATCGACCGTTATGACGACATTAAAAATCATCATGATATCGTCATTAATGTCGGTCAGCCATTTGGTAACTCCTGCCTTAATTACAATCATGGCTATAATAGTTTGCAGCAATCGTGCTTATTTAGCAGGCAAATCTTTTAGTACGAGTAATTATATATTTAATTTGAGCATGTTATCAGTGTAGATAGCAGAAAGTTAAACAGATCTAATCAAATCATCAAATTAATAAAAACATCCTAACTCAAATGGAGTACTCCGTATTATTTAGGCAGAAATAAACACAAAGAAAGGATTATTACATTCTTTCTAGCTAGGTTGTATTGGATAACATTTTCGGTTTGTACGACGTGAACAAAGCCTTTCTACAATTCTACGTATAGAAATTGCCCTAAATAGAAGTAAAAACGTTTTGAAATTCCAAAATAGGAGTATCATGTTTTTTGGAGTAATCTGCCAAATTTATAAAAAAATGTCATGTTTAAAAGTCTAGAAATGTCAAACTTGGAAGAAATTACTCCTATTTAGAGAATAAAAAACATGATACTCTTATTTTGAAATTTCAAAACATTTTTACTTATATTTACTCGTATTCAGAGAATTTACTCTTCTACATACATCATTTCATCTCTCCTATACTTCATCAACTCTATAAAGTAAGTCAACGGTCAACCATCCACAAATTAATTAACCCCCATATGCTAACCCTAATCTCAGACTCAGCTCAGTATCTAAACGCCATGCAAACCCTCCGCCGTCCATCCTCCACACATCGCACAGAACCACCAATCCGCCGCGCCTGCCGTAGCTCTCCTCTTTCCCGCCGCACCTGACCACCCTCACCCTGCACGTAAGTGCCGCCTCCTTGGTCGCCGGCATCCGTACGCCGTCGCCCAGCACCACCCACGCCGCCGCTCCGCTCTTCTGCCCGACCATCTCCTTGTACGCCGAGTTGGTCCACGTCACTCTGTTCACGTCGTCCGATGTGAGCCCCGGACACGTGTCGCGCTCAAGATTCATCCGCTTCTCTCGGTCACATCGCCCTAGACTGTAACCGTCTATCTGCCACGTGCCCGTCACGCCTTCCACAATCACCCACGACCCCACACCTCGCAACACCGCCGGCACGTGGCATTCTCTCAGCCAGCCCGGGCCTGTCGACCCGGTCCGCTCCACCAAATCCGGTAACGCCGGAGATTCTCTCCGGTCCGGTTTCTCCGGCAGAAGTGGAAGAGTAACCACCGTGGCGTCCCTCTCCAGGCTGGAAACTGACGAACTGCAGGATTCCGTCTTACCGTGGCTGTACTGGTTTTCGATCTCCGGCGCCGGAGATGCCGCTTTGTTTTTCTTACCGCTCTTTTTGTTCATCTTATCGTTTGACGCAGTTGACCTGACATATCTCCGCTTGTTCCGGCGGGTACCCTTTACAGTTTCTTGAAACGCCGGTTCGTCGGGAACAGACCCAGGGGCCGCCGGTTTTGGTGCGATCGGCCGGAATCTCAACATTATGTTATTCACCTTGAACGTATCGTAACCCACCGGCGGCGTATACCGGGAAATACAGCAACCTCCCCTCCGATCCATAATTAATCAGTCTTAAAGAAAAATGAATGTCGGGAAACTTGCCGACTATGGTGGTGGGTGTCCGGAGAGCGGTGGAGTGGTTTATAAAGCCATAAAGGGGAGAAAGTGAGATCAAGGAAGAGATATGATTGGTGGGTGTGTGGGGCCCAGGTATCGGTGAGGGTATGAGTGGCTCGGGGAAGGGCCAATGAGGAGGTGGGAAGTGTCACACATGGCATAGGAAAAGGACACGTAAGGGGTGAGTCAGAGGGTGAGGAAGCGTCGAGAAAAGGGTGCACGTGGTCCAATGATATGTTCTGTGCCACCTAATGGTTTGACGGTAGCTGTCGTGCCATTGCTCCACGTCGACGGCGGATTAGGACGCCAAATCTTTGCTCGGATTCGGTGCTTTGATTTTTCTACTTTTTGTTTAATTCGCCCCTATCTGTTCCTGATTTTTCAGTTTTTCTTTTCCACTTTTAAAAATACGTAGTATATGCTCTATTATCTACGAGTCATTAACCCTTCACGCAGTATTTCTCAATTATTATTTATTTATTTTATTGAAATTATTGAATAGGCTGTTTAAAGAAAATACTATGAAATTTTGATATCATCTCATTTAATTTATTGTACAAAATACAAGAGAGTGTTTATAATTGGTTGTAATTATATTTCTTTTTAAAAATAGAAATAAAATCAGAATAATTTTATTAGAAGTTGGTTCCCTATATTCTAAAAAACTATTTGTAGAAGTAATTTGAGGCATTTAATAGTATTTCTATACTTTCATATAAACTATATACTATATGTCTAGTGGCGGATCCAGAGATTTGTCAGAGCAGGGGCACACTAGACACTAAATTTACTCTATAATAAAAATATCTAATGTAATAAAGATGGTAAAAAGTAAGGCAATAGCATAAATTATACGGAGTAGTTAATTACATACTACGTATTAAATAGTTCATTTTTGCAACTTTGGTAAATCAAGCTTACGAGTTTTCATATTCTGAAAATGTTGTTTAAATGTTGCTTAAAACATCTCTCTCGATTTAGCACACCAAGCAGTCTGTAAGATAATCATCTCTCATCTTGATAATATTCATCGCAGAGAAGGCTCTTTCAACGGTGGTTGTTGCAACCGGTAATACGAAAGTCAACTCAATCAGATGATATACCAAGTGAAAAGAATTATGAACTTTAAGCTCAATTATCTTTTTACAAACTTCACTGATAGTCTGTACGGCAGAAAATAATTCATTTGTTCTCATTTCATATATCCACACCTGGAATTGCTCTTTTAGCTATATTCGATCAACAAATGAAAAATCGCATGATTATAATTCTGTGAGGTTTACTAGCAGGTGCCGGAACAAACTCGAAAGAAACAAAATACAAATAAAGGGGCGACTGGGCACTGCAGTGCTGCAGTGGTAGTTTAGCAAGGCAGCGACAAGCCCCAGAAAGAGGCCAGAGTGTAAACGTCCATGAGGATTTAGTTTTTGGAAGTTTTCCCCTTTTTTCCTTGTAGAGTATTAGTAAGTTATTAGTGGATTTTATTTTTAAACTTTTATCTGTTTTAGATTACTTTTAGTTGGCCGCACATTGGTTACTTTTTACATTTTAACTTTTTTAGTTACTTTTCATTTTTAACCCTTAATTATTTTCTTCTCCTTTTTTGAGAACTTTTATTTTAATTCAGCTAAAATTTAAATATTGTGTATTAACTTTTAATTTATATAACCGTAACATTTTAGTATTTTAATTATTTAATATTGATAATTTTTTGTATGGGTTGGGGGCACTAATATTACCCGAAGTACTAGTAGTGAAATTCTTGACCGGAAGCGGAGACACTGATTTTACTCTAAGTATTAGTAGTGAAATTCCTGACCGAAAGCGGGGCACTTGCCCCTCTAGGTCCCCTAGATCCTCCACTGTATATGTCTATATGGTTGACTATTTCTGCATGAAGCAATATCATCCCAATCATTAATTTCATCACATCACTATTAAAAACCTATGAGCCCCTTCGTCGTTATTTGGAAAAAACAAATAATAATGTGTTCGCAGGGGTCAAGACTCTTTTGTTTTGAACCAATATTGTGATTTACTCCTCTCCAATCTTGTTCCGTCAGGATTTAAGGTGTTGGTTATGATGATTCCTTCTTCAAGGTACATTTGGAGGAGGAGGAGAAAATGACAGTGTACATTAAATTACTAACAGAGTTTCAAGTAACGAAATTATAATTACTTTTCTTTTTGGACAAAACTATAACTAGTCACCGTGTACGAGTAACTGAACAAGAGTCACTATAGTATATTTCAGAGTGATTGGTAACTAGTAACTGAATATGTCATGGAAAAAGGCATAATAATAATAAGGGAAAATGCACAAATATATCTATGTTCTATTTTTCTGAACAAATGTACCCCGAAGTATATGTAATAATGCATATATACCCCGACCTTTTAAAAAGTGCAAAAATACCTCTCATGTTCTTATCGAGGAGCAAATTTACTCTTATTGAGTTTGAATGTTCCTCAATAATATTTCAAATCAGAAATGCATGTGTGTAACAACAAAAACATATATTGTTAAAAACAAAAACATATACTTAAGCAGGGGCGGTGTCAAGGGGGATCAGGGGGTCAGCCGAGCCCCCGAAAGTTTGAAAGTATAGAGTTCTAAAATATCTTAAATTTGATATATTATGATTATTGTAACTCCTTACAAGTAAAAAGTTATGACTTCTGGAAAAAAATCAGTATCTAACTTAAAATGAATAAAATTGGATGCGTAATATGCATTATATATATATATATATATATATATATATATATATATATATATATATATGGGGGGAGATCCCATACAAACTAGGCTTCTGAGCAAACTACAAACTAATGGCAGTCGTTGGATCAGAGGAAACGAACGACTTTCAGGAATGGGATGCATTATTAAGATGGTTCATTGACACGCATTGAATGTTGAAAACCCTAATTTTACGATTAGTATGCAGTAACAAGGTAATCGGCTGCGAATAGCATCAGCAAAAAATGGTAATTTGCAGAGGATCGTTGATTGAAAACATAGTGGCCAACGCATTCTGAGCCTAGAGCAAGGATTTCAGATAGTGTTTTTTAACCGAAGAAGGCAATTTGAACGACGAGTGCAGGGAATGGTTTCGCTACAAATGAAACATCCGTTGTGTGAAATACAAAATGAGCTTGATGAAGATACTCATTTGTAAGCATTGGTTATTTCAATATAGATTCAAAAACATTAATTTAGATGCATGTTTAATTTAATTCGACCATTGAAATGCATCTTATTGAGAAATTTAGGATGAATACTGTCAGATTACAAGTTAGGATTGCATTGTAGCTTTGGATAGAGGGTTGAGAAATGCATCTTATTGAGAAATTTAGGATGAATACTGTCAGATTACAAGTTAGGATTGCAATGTAGCTTTGGATAGAGCTTTGTCAGATTACAAGTTGGGATTGCAATATTGTGGAGAAATGTTGCATTCTTGTAACTATGGTGGAATGCAGTTAGATGTATTTATAGGTGCACTGACAGGCAGGGAATAAAAAACCATATGCACGAGTTTTAGTGTAAGATGCAGGGGTTTTGGTTCTTGGAATTGGACTTTCATATAGATTTAAGATGCAGTATTTTTAGAAGTAAGATGCATGGGTTTTGGTACTTGGAATTGAACTTTGAAATGGATGTAAAGATGCAATAATTTTAGATTAAAGATGCAGAAGTTTTGGCAATAGGAATTGGATTTTCAAATGAATGTAAGGTGCAGGACATGTAGATGTAAGATGCAGTAATTAAAGATATTATATGCAAGATTTAAAAGCATGTGACTTGTATTTGTGGAAAAAAAAATGCTTGAGCGTATGATACAAGATTCATTTATTTAAAGTAGAATGAATATGAAGGTCTCAGATTTGTGTAACACACAGTATTGGTTAAATATATTGATTGAAAGTGAATACAACCTTATGCATATTTTGGTTGTTGTATGTGTTTACTAAAAGTCAAGTGTTATGATTGAAACCACACATAACTGCACTTGTATATTTGAGTTCCGTGTATGCATAAAACTTTGTTATAAGATGCAAGACTAATATAATCGCAATGCATTATTACAAGTCTATAGGGAAATAGTCATTTGTGGATTTGTTTCTATGAAAATAAGCTAAACAATGACATGTCCGTATAATAGAAAATGGAGAAGAGCAACAGGTAGTAAGGAGCGAAAAGAAAACAAGAATGTGTATCATCAAGTAACACCAAACAGAACAAAAAGATCAAAGGGGAGAGAAAAAAGATAAAAGGTTAGACAATTTTTTTTTTTGCATATGAGACGCTTTTCAAAGTCTGTAAGTCTAAATTGAATAGTGGTCATTATATTAAAAGTAGATGTTCCATAGGTGCAAACAATGATGAAATATACAACATGATGAATTCCAAAGAGCTGAAGTGAGAAGCAAAGACAAAAAAAATAGTACAAGGTTTCAAGAAAAATGAAAATAGATTGAAATTTAATTTGTTATGGAGTTTATTTTCATAAAATGCATTTGTTATCTAGTAATGCAATGATGTTGTGGTAACTATGCAGGCGTTGAGATAAGTAGAAAAGATAGTGGAAGACTGGAACTATGCATGAAGAGAAGGAGAACTGGAAGAAGATGTGAAGACAAATAAATCAGAGAGGTTGAATGCACCATATGAGAGCTGATTCAGACAACATGTGTTTTTGTTTACATTTTACTTGACAAAAATACTATGACATATGTTATTGTGTGGGTGAACATCTATGGAAGTTTTTACTTGACATTAGTAATGAAACATCATTCACGACATATCGTATTATGTTGACGGTTTGTATTGTGTGAATGTGCAATACAAACACTTATTTTGGTTGAATGAAGTTTTGGTATGCGTTTACTTGCATCTTAACAACTTGTATGATGCACTGCGATGAGCAATGTATGCATCATTATACGTTTGAGATATATAACATAAAATAGAACTATTGTGTGGGTAAAGACCCTG